AGTCAAAATATTCTGCATATGGTAAAATTTAACAAAATACTCAACAAACTGTACATTTGGATGAATATACCGGAGGCAGATATAAGCAGAAGATGTTAATTTCTTTATGTATATTTCATACCTAATATTTCATCAAATGAATCGCAAGAGTAGTCTGATAATATCCATGTCATATGCCATCACTCTCATTCGTTCTAGATGCATTTAGAACCAGTATTGCTGTTAATATTTCTAACTGTATCTATCTATGAATCTTTCACCTTATAATTTGGCAAATCTTTCTTATCAAGGAAACGGTATTGCTAAAATTCTGTTGCGAATAAGATGTCAAATTACCTTTGCGTTCGGAAAAGCTTTATGTAGTTCTTCCCAGAAAAAACTTGGCAGTACGTCAGACACTGCGTCCACATTTTCGTACATTCTACTAAAATCTTCAGTGGTGTAGCCCACATTAAATATTTTGTTTTCAATCTTTGCCTGAAATTGTATTGTTTTCCATGTAATCGTAAATATTGAATCCCAGTATTTTTAAAGTACAGTCATAGTCTTGGTTCCAGTTTTTGGAAATCCGTCTGATATCACTTTTATATTGCTGTTCCTGTTTTTAATGTTTCATGATTTCCAAGCCAATACACATAAAGTCGACAAACCAGCAAATGCCAAGTTCAACATTAACCTATTTAGGTCAATTTTAGGTTCAGAAAAATACGAAACGACATTCATTTCAATAATGAATAAAAATGATTGTATGATTTGCTTTCCAGAATTTATTTTTCAATATCTGGGATGTAAGCGTTCAGATTGTGCACATATGTAGTATGTGTTTAAAAATTTCCACGAAATTTTAAAGCCTTTTGACAATAAGAAAATTGTTAGAATGAATAAAGCTCTGTGGTCATGAAGCGTTATCTATATTCACAATATTTTTTTAAATCAATTCCAATGGTGTAGCCGACCGAATATCGGTCGCATCGCTCTAAAATAAATATGGAAATAATGAATGTGACAAAGAATATGTCAAAGCCATTAAGAACTGGAAATCTTGCTCAAAATTGAAATAGATTGTGCTGCTATGATAAGCTGGTACGCATCCCACTCATCAAAAATCCTATCGCCCACACCGGTCTCCTATCCATCTTTTAAAGCCACCTTGGATAAACGACCCTCAGAAGAATTGTAGCATCTTTTTGCACGACTTTCATTCGATGAAAACCTTCCAGGATTTTTTTTTCACGTCATCAATCTTGAAGTCAGGTAGATTTTTCAATTTATTTCCATAAATAGTAAACACGATCAATCAGTGGGTTGTGTCGGATATGAAACGCTCAACAGAATCAGTGCAACTCACGAAGTCGCCTCTGGCATTATGCTATCCTTCTAATGGAAGCGCTAGTGAGACGAATATTCTCTGTAGTCGCATAAACAAAACAAGCTTCTCGATAAATCTGACATTTAGAGAATGCGCAATCGCCCCTCTAAATTTTCGTCTCCTGATTTATCTCTCTAGCCCACTTTGAGAATCACTCGTTTAGAATCTTAGATGATAAACAAGAGATATGGACACGAAAGTCAAAACGAAGTGGTATATAAAATTTAATCTTTCACAGTACCGGTACGGTACTACAAATGATCATAATTTCAAGTAAATTTAGATAACGGAGCCACCATTAAATTGCTCGAATATTTCCTACATCGCGAACATCTTCACTGCCTGTAGTCTATTACATAGAGTCTATATATAAAACGAAGACTACCTCAACTGACTATCTCCTGGATTGCGTGGGTCTTCGATACAACCTGCTGTGGTCAAAATTGCTCGCTAATAACAGTTTACAAAGAATACTAAATAATAATAATTTCCCGATATTTTAAAATCTAAATCACAATTAGATAGAACCTTGGGTGTCGCTACTTGATCATCAGGTTTGGTTTCCCGCGGCTTCCCTTCCCCAGTAAAGTTATGTTTTTGTCATATTCGCCTATTTACTTATCGATCTCGATCGGTAGGTATGTTGATAGGTATTTGAGACCTCCTGGAGTATGCGCACCAAGATGGCGCACAGCCTGAACTCACGTTGTGTACCAGGTTAGGTTCAGGTTGTGCGACATCTTGGTGCACATATTTCAGGAGTACCGGTATTTGTCTGCTAGACACTTTCGTATGTTATATCTCACGAAATGATTAAACACCTCGTGGTATTCTTTTACTTCTGATCCAAATTTTGTATGCACATTCATCATATCTCGGACCAGAAGCTCATTGATTTTGGATGAAATATGTCGTATAATCAGCGAGTTATTAATTAATTAGTGATGGGACACCCGATGTCGCTATTGAGTCATAGCAAAAGAATCAAAACCGCAGTTTCTGTTTTGGGGGATCGCCTAACTTTCGTCGCTGCGAACGATCGATAAGTCAGCGGTATCCGATCCCTATCTAGTTTTGTATTTGTATCGTTTATCATTTTGCTGACTGAAAATAATAAATATTAGTATGATTCGTGTAGCCTTCCCGACTCTGATTGACCACCTGAACACAACGAACGCGAAATCGCCACAAGGTGCGCAATTTTTAATTTAGATGACGTCTCACACACAAAAACGAATTTCATATGAAAAACAGAAAATTTTAGAAATAAATAAAAGCAATAGTTTTCTAGTGATAACAACAATCTTTAATCACTGTAAATTCCAAAGCAATTGGTCTCGTATTTAATATAAAAAGCGATTTTTTACTCACAACAACAACAACAATTTACCAAAAGATCCATAGGTCCACTTTGTGTCAAAAAATAACAATTATACTCTTTCCTGAGGCACACGATTCAATCTGATTAAACTCGGCCCAATTTTACAGCCCGTTACAATCATAACACTCCATCACAATGAGCAATGAAATTTAATTTTGCGCAACACGTTTAGGGTGTTGTCTGTTCCTAGAGATTCATGCCACTATCAGGTCGTTTCTGTTGTCCATAAGAAACCACGAATCAGAGAGCATTGTTGTTTTTGAGGTGTGTTGTGGTCGTTAGCGTGTGAATCAGAAGTGGCTACATGAAATTGTACATCACAAGGTACCTATCTATCCCCATCCTTACGCAAGGGCTTTTGTGACAAACAAAAAAGACTGCGTTGCATGCATTATGAACCAGGCTAGTGATTTTGAACCGATGTTCCGTGAAAGATCATCAGGTGCTCCGCGTCAGATTGTTGTCTCCAAATTTGTTTTGCATTCTGGCGTATTTTATGATAACAAAAAAATCCAAAACCACTTAGCACGCATTTAGTTTGAGGATTCTATTGCGTGTAATAAACATTTTTGTAGGAACGGACTCAAATTAGTCAACGGTGAAGTACAAGGAGAATTTTTAACGCGCGAAAGAGTTATTTTATTTACGGTATGTCTTAACTTTAAAGGCACTAATAAAAACTGACGAATGGCACATAAAACCGAGTCAAAAAGTCTGAGTGACTGCCTGAATTTTAGTTTTAACCTACTGCTGTTTGGTCACCAATAATAATAATAAACAAAATCGTAATAAACAAATCGATTCTCGGGTAAAAATAACGCCCTCCAACAATAACAAAAACAAAATTTCGTTTTGAGTTTTAACGACACCAGAAGAAGATAGCTATTTCAAGGCGGTTTATCGGCGTTATTCATAATGCATACCGCACGTTATATATCACTGATGAAAAACCTACAACCGTTGAAGAAGAACTACGTATTTGCCTCCCCTAAGCCCCAACTAAGATAGAGGCTTCGTGCTCATCTAAACAAGCTCATATTAATATTGTATTGCTATTAACGGCTACGAACAGCCCGTTTTAAGTAATCGTCATTGATATTTCAGCGGATTTTTATTCTTTGTAGTCTTGCTTTCAGTTTGTTACGTCTCTTCACTATTCGAGTCATAAGCTTGGTCTTGTTGTAATTTCATTCCTACGCTAAAATTGATCGTGTATATTAGTTATTCGAATAGTTTCCACAAAATCGAAAACTTGCGTTTGGTGTTAAGAGAAAATTGATGATGTAAAAAAGCGTCCAGAGGTTCGAAAAAGTTTGAAAATCACAACACTGGGCGACAAATGGTTCCAAACAACGCGTTACAAACATGCAACATTTTGGAACCTCACAACGAAAAAATCAACATTTCAATATGTTTTTTAATACAAACACAACATGATTGGACACTCAATCGTGCGCCCGAATACTTTTGAAATATACTTCCTAAGATCAATCATTACGTAGTGTTGATCTGAAGGTTATTTTTCGTATACAGTCTAATAATTCTAACGCCGTGTTGTAGTCCGTTTGAAGAATAATCTTACAATATACATTCACACATTTTACAAATGGGGCTAAACAAAGAGATCTTCTAATTTGATTTTATGGACGCCAGTGGGTTGATCCAATGAGTGGAACTGTGAAATATCAGAAATTCAAGTAAATCAAACAACAAGCGAGAACAAAAAGGCATAGAATATCCTTGATATGATTCGAATAGAAAATAACAGAATACAGTTGTTAAGTAAATTTGTCATTGACAATTTGATTTAATATATATATATATATTTCTATATATAACCAATCACGCATTGGACTATCAATTACATTAACAGAATATAATGAGTATATGTAAAACTTCAATAGTGCTTACTTTTGCGTTCGTGCATTTGACGTGTATTTCGCTTTGTCCCCTGTAGTAATATTAATGTCTTTTTATTGTATTTCATCGTATAATATATATATAATTCGTGAGTAATTACGCTGCTTCTTGACTTGAATTACCGATCTTCGCCACTTCTGCTTAAAGATCGAAGTAATCGGGATAATGAATTGATCAATGAAAATTCAAAATGGTTTTCAAATTCTGAATATATACGTTTCTTTACTGTGATACGACTGTGGCCTACTTTTGTTTACAAAACTCTCAATCTGTGCATTTCAAACCCTTTCCTAGAACTGCCCGTCGTTTACCCTTCTCACAACTAAAACATTTTAACTGGTGCTCTTTATTCGTGTATAAAAGTCGAAATCTTGCTTATTGCAAACAGATAACGATAAAACACCGGCACAAATACTTTATAGTCAATTTATTACCATATTTTCTTGGCAGTGAAAACCAAAACAGAGACTGAGAGTCTTTTCGATTATAATTGAATGTATTGTAATTACCATATCTGATAAGTTTTACGATTTGAGTATTACGAATTATGATAAACTAGGTTTGAAACATAAAGCACGATTCAAAAAATTTACAAACAAATAGAATTAAAGAATACATTGGCCTAAGTATGGCTGTAATGATTTAACTACAGGGAATACCTCAACCTTTTTATCGGATAGAAATAATAACTGGAAGGAAAAATATAAATATTTAAAATCTAATTTGTTTCATTTTGTTCAATTTCAGATGAGCCTGTTTACTGATGATTATTTTATTACAAAAACTACATTTATTAAAAGATTGATAATGTGATTATTTCCATTGTCCAAACGATCTTATATATTACGAATAATGCTTTAAAAACGGCTTAGGCCTCATCTGGGCTTTCTTCGGATTCTTCTTCTTGGGTGACTGAAACAGTGATATCTCCCGCAGCAAACCAGGAGTCTGGTTCGGAAGAGTAATCAATACTGAAGTGGACCTAAAATCGAAAGAATAAAATTACATGAATAGACAGAATAATAGTATTTGAAAACCCTGACATCGTTTCGATTTCTTTCAATTTTTGTTGTTTAATTGTTTTGTTAATTTACACAATATATTTGAAATTAAAGTGATGACAATTTGAAAAGATTTAGAATCTCGCACCCCCGTTCATAATTTTATTTAACACAATTTTGTAGAAATATACCTCGGTGTGATCATCAATGCCTTCTTCATTCTTGAATCCCGAAACTGTGTATGTCGTACCGTCTCCGTCAACAACTAGTTCGCTGTCTCCACCAGTAATCTGAAATTTGTTTGAATAGTGTGGTTAGTTACAGAAAAAAAAATGATACTGAAAAAATAAAAATATATTGTTATCATATCTTACGTTAAATCTGGCAACTGCTACTGGAAGAGTGATGGTAAGTACATCTCCCTCGTGGTATCCGGTTCTTTTGAAAACATTGGAGCTGGCTTCTTTTACAAGGTCGTTTTGGGGGAAGGAGTAGACAGATACTGAGAAAAAATTACAGTTTTTAGTATGTTAATTACAAGAAATTGAACTTTTAAAATGTTAGTTACAAGATATTTTTGGTTATCACACCCACTAGGAAAATAGTTTAAAGAATTTGTTGTACTGCATGTATACGTGTGAGTTCATCATGTAGCAGTATTTACAGTTATTATTTGAAGTAAATCGACACGAAGCAACAATCAACACTCAATTACGGCGATGAAATTTAAATACGAAATATAGCGTTACAACAGTTGTTGTTATGTGGACTAGTCCATGCAGTAATTCAATTTACAACGCAGAGCAATATTTGTTTGGTTTAAACTTACAGTCTTGTACATCGGATTGGTCACATGTAAAACCGATATCGGTAATATTGAAAATTTCGTCCCGGTTGAAAATAATGAGGACAGTTATAGTTTCATTGATGGCTTCCCAATCAGCTGGGGCGGCAATTTTGTAAGTGCCTTCAATGGGGCTGCTGTCTCCTGGGACAATATGGCCGTTCGTTACCTAAAACAGAATGATTTAAAAAATATTTTTGGAAATAGAACCGGTTTTTGACGAACGAAATATTTTTTCATGTCAAATTTTTTCTGCCGTGTACCATCTCTCTTACTTCAATTTATAAATCTACCTTCAGGGCATGAAACAACGTGTCCCAGTAATCTGTCTGTATGTTGTCTATTAATATTTCGGGAAATAATGTTGGATGCATCTACACAATTTTAGCCATTTTTCTCTCATCTTATATATATATAAATATATATTTAATCACCTTGCAGCCAAACTTTGTCATATTGGTTTAAATATAAACATTACACTTACATGGAAAAGATTGACTGGACCTGGAAGATCAGCCGTGCAGCTACCATCTCCAACATCGGAAACAGCAAATTCGACGAGTGCACCAGCGTTTGAGTCTTCATTTTGTGGCCAGTCAGTTTTAACACTAATACCTGTAATAATAAATTAAGATAATGCAACTTCATTTAGTTAAATAAATAATATTCTGTTATGATACATTATTAAGTTGATAACAATTTTCTAGATTTTAGAATGAAGTATAAATATATTGTCCTGTCGGCGCAGGTAGATTAAATCATATTGTTTTTCTCATTGTTTGTGTATATATTGTTTTTACGTATGCTTAAGTGCATAATTGCACAAACTTGGAGTTTCAAACTAAACTGTGTATATGATATAATTCGATCTACCTGAATCCGCATCCTCCACATCTTGTCCGAAAACACCTCCCAATAAAGCAATGATGGCAATTATAGCAATCTTCATGTTGTCTACCTATGACATAAAACGATATGGTTTGAAAAAAAATGAGTTTGGTGAAGTTACAATAATAAAGTTATTCATAAAAATATATTGTAAAAGTTTTCCCAGTATCCTTCAAATCTTAACTTTCGATTTCAATTTGTACCCATCTTCGTGACTATGTGTACGTATGGCGATGGATATTTTTACATTGAGCATACCCTCAAATCTTGCTATTTCTGAATTGTCGTTGTTTTTACCGCATATCAATATCTAATTATGTTTCAATTAAGGTATTATCCCCAATAATCTGAAGCAAAAGTTAAACTTAAACCGAAAACCTGAACTTGAACCGGAATATATCAGTTTCACCTGCGGACATAAGTTGACGCGATAAAATGTAAAAATAATGCAAAGATAAATAACATAGTATATTATACAAAAAAATCACGCCGTTTTTAAATTTTTTTATTTAAAATAGGCCATACTTGGCCACTTAGTATAGATTTCATGTATCCTATAAACACAAGAAAACATGTGTCCAGCTTTCTGGATTCTATATCAAAAATATCAACGAATCAAACGACTATTTACTCCAACTACCAACCTTTTCTATTTTGCAAGTCTCGAAATAAGAAATATCCAAATGCTTAGGATCCGAGCTGTATGTTGCAACAATCGGCGATTTCCTAACTTACGTTTCGAACGAGTCAGACTTGTGAAGAAATGAGCAGATGGAAGTCGTATTTATACGAAACTCGAGCTCAGTTTTTCTTTTTTCTAAAAAAAAACATGAAATATGACTTTTTCCTCTAAACAGAGCTGACGTTGCTCAACGTTATAATTGGTGGATGTATCTATCTCGCACGAAACGTCATGTGGGAAGACTAAACGGCTGTGTTCTTTGCCCCGCAGGCAAGACTAAACCAGAACCCAACATTAAGCAGGATTTTGCTTAAAGTAACTCCTCCGTGTTTTACAAGTCTGAACGTATGATTAACGCAAGAAAAACGTTTGCACTCAGGATTGGTTGATATGTCGTCTCGCGAAAAATAAGCTAGTTAATTTCAGATATTAATATATTATATAAATTGGGGTAAACCTATCCTGTTCCAAAAAGGACTCACTCACTCACTCACTTTGCAACACATAAACATGGTTGTTTAACCAAGTTTAACTATAAGACAACTAGTTTCATGTCTTGAAAAATTAACCATTGTATGGTTAACCGGTACGGTACCAGTGATCAAGAGTTCTATCGGACTGGTCTCGTGGGTATTACTATTTCAATATTCAATTGAATATCGTTATATATTTTGAATGTATGATTTCCTCAAAGTAATGGTATAGAAATAACACCTGAAAACTACGGGAAAAATAAATTGTAGACAGAAATATAGATATGAGATGTGATGCAAATGTTATTATGTAATTAATTATTTTAGATTTTTCACTGTTTTTTCTGCCTCCTTCTATCCTACAAGCACCAGTATTTTATACAATCGATATTATATCTGAGATTGTACTAAACCAATTATTGAAATATTGATACTGAAATATTACATTTTGATGCGCTGAAATGAACTTTCGAAATGTTTCCAACAGGCCCTTGAGAACAAAAATATTTCTGCAATTCGCGAATTATTTCATCTACACTTTCGTATAATAGAGAAACATTTTGTGAGCTTTGATTATAATTTTTTTTTTGATATCGCTATAACTTTTCTACAGACATGTAGTGTTTTAGAACCTTGGCTCTTGCATTCAGTGTTTTTTTATTGCTCTAAACAAGTGAGAGGTCAATTAATGATAGTTTGATAACTTTAGAAATTGACTTCGAAAACGTCAGGATCTGCTGAAAATGATACCCATTGTTTCGTGAGTGTTCGTGTGCAAAGGAACCCGATTTCTCATTCCAGACTTTGCATTGCAGAAGAATTTATTTTATTTGATAAAATTGAAAGTAAATTGAGACTGTAGAATAAAACACACAAGTTCAAGCTCATCGTAGCACATAGGTCGTGCGCAAAGGAATTCGTCTTGTTTTGCGTGCCCGGGGCTACATACAGTCAGGATGTGTAATGTAATTTTCCATATCCAAATTGTGTTTACTGGATTGATAATAGTTACATTTCTGAAATCTTTGATTTTTACACCAGGTAGGTACACTGCTTATCTTAAGTCGAAAAGACAGCCGAGCAATTAGAAATGAATTGATATGTACATATGAATGCTATTAATGCGTTACTATTCCATCAAAACACATAGTAATAGCTTGGATTCTTTAATATTAACGACGAAATGGAATATTTCAATGTTTATATGAAAGCTGATTTAAATGAATCATATGCATTTCTTAATAATACTGTTGGAGGTTTGTTATGTTTTTCGAGGATTATAAAATCCACCTCATACTTTACACTTAAATTCTGAACGTTCGGAAATATTACGAACATTATTTGAAACTTTTAGATCAGATTGGATTCCTATTTCCCTTCGGGTTTGTTACATTTAATAAATAGATTGAATTTCATAACGAGGATTCACCGAATATTTGCTAAACTATTGGTGAGGCAACGTTCCTGAGATGGCTCAGTTAGTTGTTCTGTCTCTTTATTTCTAATTAGAAACTGGTAAATCAAGATATTGGATGGCGCACAAGGTGATATATATGTTTCACGCGGATGGGCGACATCGATCACGAGATCTGCGCGTGATTGTCGATTACAACACGGTTACAATTTGTCTTAGTCTAACTTGACGTTTGAACTTGAACGATCAGACAAAATAAATTACATAATGGCTCAATGAGGGCTATGTTATGTTGGAGCCTTTGTAATTTATCACTTCTTTGCTATTTTGCATTCGAAACCGAATACCGATGGTCGTTTTTGAAGAGTTGAGACTAATCAAAGCCAAAAAGAATGGATGTAGATATTTTGCGGGTCATTTTGAGAAAACCTAATCACGTGTTGCATCATATTTGACGCGCGCATGTCCATCACGTGGTCTTTTTGCTTTTCTGCGAAATGTAACCGTCGTGTTTCCGTAATTTGGTCGAGATTTTACACCGAAAATGAAATAATTGCCACATTAAATTTCAATTTAATTATTTTACTAGTTACGTCTAGTTTCCTTTTATTCTTAATTGTAGCCATCAGTCCATTCGCGAACATGACTTCTATAATAAATCACCGAGCAGAAAGCAGGGCAAGTGGATATTGAATTCAAAAGTAACATTTTTAAAAAGTGAAATATTTTCAAAAGCTACGTCAAAATCTTCCAACTTGCGATTTTCGATGATATAGAAATATTATGTTATTATTTAGATATTTTTGAATGCAGAAAACACACAAAAAATTACCATGGCATACCATAATATATATATATATTGATGTTTTCCGTATTGCATACACATAAATTCAAAAGCATGCTCTAAGTAATTTCAGAAAAACGATTTTTGGAGCAAATGCAATAAACCAACAGAATCATTCTTGCAAAATATAGTCATCTTCGTGAAAATACCGCGGAAGACAGTAATCCTTAGTGAAACATTACTAAGTGTCTAGCTTACGTTATATTCACAGCCCCGAGGCTACGACTGAAATGACAGAAGCGGCTGGACCGGATTGCTAAAATGTCGAAATTCTAAAATGTGTGTAAAGAATTTAAACTCGGGTACATGATCTAAACACCGAAGACAATATTTTAGCTCCTAGAGCCTCAGCGCAAAAAAATATATATTCCTAATCATGTCATGAATCATCAAGATTGGATATTATCTGGAAATCAATCTCTAAACTGTGAATTCAATACTAAAATGTGATTTTCACTCGTGTACATGATCTAAACACCGTAGTCACTATTTTAGCTTTCAGAGCCTCAGCGCAGAAAGCCCATATTCTTAATCATATTATGAATCATTAAACTTGCACATTATCTAGAAACCTATGTCAAGCTATGTATTGTGAATTATCACACCAATAACGAGAAGGATGCACATATATCGATACCTTTAAATGGAATGTTCTTCAAGCACTCGGTAGGGGAAGATCATAATACGATGCTTTTTTGTGATCAGGCCTTAAAAAACCAGGGAAATTGTGGGAAAAAAACAGATGACATATAAGAGAGAGCCATCCATCTTTAACAGATGCTTCTGATAGTTCAGAATGATTTTTGTCTCAACAGTAAAACAAACAAAAAGATTCATAATTTTCCGTCGTATCCGATAATAAATCGAAAGGTAATTTGTCACCGTGCATCATTTATCTAATGTAGAAGTTATACACGAACGCAGATAAACGCTTTATTCGAAGGTTTTGTTCATGATCAGTTACTGCAAGTCAATTTAAAACTCGGCAGATGACGCGTATTGCCAAGTGCTCCCTGCCCCTCAAGACACAAAAAACAACAGAAGCAAAGCGTACTGGAAGACAAGGAATTTATTCAGAAACTTGGAAACGTTTATTACAAATCCTAGGTATTCATAGAAAACAAGCTTCATCTTAAATAGCGTAGTCTTGAATTTTTTAGGATGCATGCTATAAAGTAAATTACTTCCGTTCAGCCCAGGCAAAGACGAATTCGATTTTTCAATGGGATCTCATAATATGCCAGGATTACTTCCTGGTTCAAGGGTCAAACGAAATCGATGTTTAAATAGTGGTTAGATGGGGCAGACTATCTTCACGCAGTAAATGATTAAACTTCCCAAATATTTTCAATTGAATTGATAAGATAACTAAGATGAAATCATAAACAAAAAAAATCAAAAACATTGAAAATAGTTTTCAAACGTGTAAACCTGATTTTTGTGTATTATGGATAATATGTGTGTAAGGAAACTAAAGGAAAATTAATAATCTTTGCTAAACAGTAACGAAGTACAATAAAATAACTTTACAAGAATGGACTTTCTTTATTATGTAGAATCAAAGTGCCGACTAGAACAAATCGAAGTTGACAAATTTGATTCATACATGCTATGAAACCAGGCAACCAAGAATTATTAATAATGATTTTTCTGAAGTAAACTTGGTCATTGTGAAAACTTTCTTGTGCAATATTCCAATCAAAATTGAGCCACTACCAATTCAATGTGCCAAACAAAATACACAATTACCATAAGTGACCTGGCCGAGGAATATGTTCACAAAGACATAATTGGTAATATGTATAATGAAAATGAATGTAAAAAATGGGAAAGTCATATTGTACCTAAATCGTCAATGGCAATATGCCACGAATTTGAAGATTTGTCCATGTTGTTTATGCTTTGGCAATATTGAAGATTTTTAGTGTGTAAGGTAAACCAAAATTTAATGCAGCAATCATTTAGTAACAAGTGCTAAACAAATAGTCAATAAAGCCAGAGTTGACGCACTGCACTAGTCTGCTGATTTGAAAACCTCGTCAACGAAAATACCGGAAAATTATTTTTTCATTACTAAATACTAAATGATAGACAATTTCCTAGACTAGAGTATAAACCGAAAAATTCAGAAAAGTGTTTGAAAAATCCATTCAGTAGAAATTACTGTTTTTTTAGTCAATTTTTCGTAATTTATCTAGTAAAATAGGGTATATCATGTATCTAATGGGGAACAGGTCTTCAGGTTCTAGGAACAGGTTCTTACCTAGGAGAACATCCAAACTAAGATCTACTTCACGATACAGGTATATATGAAATTTTGAAGGCACAAAAGCACTGTACTAGTATTGAAAGAAAACCATCAAAATAAGGCAAAACATCGCTCGTCCTATACATATATTTAAATTCAGTCGTTCATAATATGAAATATGAACTAAAACCCCATCTTTAGCAAATATAAATGACCCAAGCAGATTTTCTGCTTCTCTTAGATAAGATACTAGGTATACAAAAACACATTATAACAAAGCAACGAAATTTTGACGGTCTAATTCGATCGAATTTTATCATGACGTGGCCTCAAATTCAAAGTGCTATGAAGAAAGTGAGAGCCTCATTTTTTATATTAAACAACTCGCTTCAATATAAAAGTCACGTGTCATAGTTCAACAAAGTTATACATTTTGTTGGATAAATAATAAAGTTGCTAAAAATATAAATTTAAATTCGATCTATTTACTAACAAACAATAACAGTCAATAATGATTTGTTTTAATTTATTATTTTATTAAATATGTCAATCACAAGGTCTCCTGGTGAACAATTCTTCTACACCACTATTGCAAAATCCGCTTTTGTTTTCTTCCCTGATCCCGCACAACCGGGGTCAAAGTTCATCCTGAAAAAATAATATGTAAAAGTCATTACAAATCAAGTTCGCACTTTTCTCGTTGGTGCTTCACTTAGACTATTTTAATCAGATAATTCAATAACAACTTTAAAAATTCACAAGTTTATGGAAATAATATAAAATACACAAACTCACGTTTATTTTTTTAGAATCCTTAGCAGCATTACGGTTCTGTTTTTTCTTTTTTTCTCTTTCATAAGGCTCCAATAATCTTTCAATTTCTCGTACTATTTGATCTGGATCCTAAAAATTGAGAAGATCAAGATAAGACTTATTGAATGTAACATTAGATCTGGTCATGCGATATAAGTTATATTGTTTTAACATGGATAATTATGTTAGAAGCATAGAGCGGCCCAAAAGACAGAACCCATTTCATATCGAACATATTCTAGATAGAACATAACTATTGTGCAAAGTGTCCTAGAATACTGAAACTCACACTCATACACAAACAAAATCAGAGTGTCAACTAATTTTCTTCCATTTTCGCAGAACTACCGTAAATAAGACATGAATGGATAGGTTGGATGGATGGATGGGTTGTTTCTGTTTAGACATACCATTTTTGTCAGAGAAATGAGCGGAAGATTAAGAGTTCCAAAACCAAATAGCTTTGCAAATGTGCATGGTTGTTCCAAACTGCACGAATTGAGTGATGATGGTTTGAAGCCAAATAAACTTGAACTTCTGAGAAATAGATAAAATGCGTATACAGAGTACACTAACCTGGGATTCTATACTATGTTTCGCCTTTTTTTTCTCTCCTGGATTGGTTGGCGGATAAAACCTCACACTTGGATATGCGTTGACACCTGCCTTCGAGCAAATTGATGGATGAGATTGACAGTCGAGCTTCCCAAATTTAACTTTTCCTTTCATTTTCTATAAAAAAAAAATTGGGTTTCAAAAAATTTTCCTTTTCCGGTTCGAAAGATGGCAAAATATGAAAATCAGTTGGCTTTTTGAACTAATAGATTTTGCTGGCAAATATTTTCTACCAAAGAATATACATTTTGGAAAAAAATCATTTTCCGAATTTAAATATTGCGAAAATATACAAATTAGTAATAATTTTAACAAATGAATTTGATATTCTGGTAATGAGTCTACAGACTTTAAAGTCTTATGAAGAATATGTTCAACTCACTGCCGATGCCATTGTGAACTTAGGAGCAAACGCGTGGCAATGTCCACACCAAGGAGCAAAAAAGTCAATCAACCAAGGTTCTTCATCGACTAGATAACCACCTTGAAAATCAGACGATTTCAGATCGACCACATCCGTTTCCACATACCTGCGAAAACATACGGAATAATGAATTTAATTTTATAAAAATATTGGTAAAATTTCAGTAATTTGAAGTAGACTACTATTCATTATACGCCAGCTTCGAATCAAATTCGGCTGATTAAGAATAATAGCATATTCTGCAACACAAATTTGTATAGTAAAATTCGGTACACTTATTGGTTTGGCAGCAGAAATGTATCATTTTTAAAATTTAAAATGAATTACATGGAAGATAGTCAGAGGTTAAACAACATTATGGAATATAGGATCTATGACATACAGGACAAAATAAAAAGTAGGTGAATTAATAAAAGTTACATTCAATACATATCCAGTACATGTGTGATATATATTTAGATCAAAGATATGCCATTAAACAGCATCTGGGCAAAACACTTTTCCCATTTTATATAATTTATTAGAAATTATTCTAAACGCACGCAAATTATAAGGCCTAAGGCGAAATCACATTTTTGTGTTTGGATGAAGAAAATTACCTTCGTGCACTGTTTGACAAAGTCTAAAGGAGGAAATTAGATATAATAACCCTAATTAGAATAGTTTTTGTTCGTCGTCAGAAGGGATCTCAACAGAGAACAAATAAAACGAAATTGGATGGTAGGTGTTCGGAAAAAATGCATTTTTCGTAAACATGACAGGGCTGTTATTGAGTATCAATATAACATAAGCGACTAAATAGTAATATCACATGAGTGATTCTAACATATTAAAAACTAACCAACAAAACTTCTACCAGGAACCTATACTCTTAAAATGAAATATAATTACAAATATTTATTAAACTAGATAAATATTTTTGCTATGAGTAATTTTGTTGAAGTCGTGTAATTAGAACATTTCTAAAAATTTTGTCAATGTCGGCGTGTCACATACATCACTGTATAATGTACTGCACGCATTCTTAAAAACTTCTGTATTACGACTTAAAAATGACGAATCGGTGTGTCAAACATAGACTATAAGTACTTTCACTTGGAAACCTGTTGAGAATAAGATAATAACGAATAGTTTGTTTGCATCAGCTCGTTGATTTACGTGTTTAGATACATCGGATTGGAAGAGTAAATCCGCAACGGTTTTCATTATGCGAATAACCCTCTGGGCAGAGTATTCAACGTCACATCGCTAACAGGTTTATCCTAACCGCACTGCAGTAACAATAGTTCTTTCTAATTCATAAAATCTGACATTAAACTAAATCAATCAAAGTTCCGACGATTTTCAGGTTCTTAAAATTAGTTTGTTAATAATATCTTTAGTTAAAAATTGTAAGCAATTGAAAGGAAAGTTTGGATATCTCAGAATATACGCGAAGACTGTTTCAAAAAAAGGCATGCGTGATTCAAAATCATAACTTCGAAATGTTAAAGACGATTAGTCAAATTTAACGGTTAATAAAAACATAAACAACACGACTTTCTATTGAATTAATGCTGCATGATTTATAGTCACACGTCATGTAAACCATAAGATTTGGCGCCAAAAGTTTACATAATCACCTGGGCAATAGCACCGAAGTTCGTGGCAACAGCGTGATGTTAGAAAAAAACACCGAAAATACACGCGCACGATTACAATTCTTACATCACAATAGTTACACGTGTGTTATACAATATTAAGTAAAATATTCCACATATTTTTATTTCAATCAGGTTCTGTTTCATTATTACATCATGAGTCAAATACTCGGCCGGCAAGTTTCCAATGATTGCAAAATACAGCCCATGCAGGAGGCCACGCGCCGTCGATAGAATTTGTAAAACATTTGCACGCGCATAAAGTAGCGTATTGTGAAATACATTATCACTTTGTCGTTCGCGTTGCAGTGATATTACACGATTTACAACCGGATGAACCAGTAGAGCGAACGACATCTAACCAACATTGCGATAGAGTGACGATTACAATCCTTACATCACAATAGTTACACGTGTGTTATACAATATTAAGTCACAATATTCCACATATTTTTATTTCAATCAGGTTCTGTTTCATTATTACATCATGAGTCCAAGAACCAGCAAGTTTCCGATGATTGCAAAATACAGCCCATGCAGGAGGCCACGCGCCGTCGACAGAATTTGTAAAACATTTGCACGCGCATAAAGTAGCGTATTGTGGAATACATTATCACTTTGTCGTTCGCGTTGCAGTGATATCACACGATTTACAACCGGATGAACCAGTAGAGCGAACGACATCTAACCAACATTGCGATAAAGTGACGTGTTCAAATACGCAAAAAAACGCGATGCGGCTAAATGTTCGAAAAACAGGTACCTCAAAAGTGCAATAATCTTGATGTCAGATAAAAATCGAAAAATAATTAAAATCAGATTTATTTGCTAGGAAATGGCATATCACGATATCATTAATCCATCCATATTTAGTCTGACAAATTTCCCAGTATTGTAAACTTACTTTAATGCCCAGCTTGCAAGTTTAAATGACTGTCTGTTCCATCCACGATAGACTTCGTAAAGTGGGCTATGTGTGTCTCGTTTCTTAGGTGGAAAAATACGAATTTCTGGATAAGATTCCACTTGATGTCTGCGACAAAAATCATTATGTCCAGGTTTTGCGCAGTCTAATGCACCCACCATGACCAAACCGTTCAATGTCTGAAAAAAACAATTGTTTGTACATATTAAATTTGTAACCAAAAAGAACGACATCTGGATTTAAACCGTGTGAGGAAGTAGATTATATTTTCATGTCGAGTGAGCGGACGAGAAGTGTAAATTCCAGTTTGACAACAACATTCTTTTCACATAATAACACGGTGCGCGTAATTTAATCTGATGAGAAAAAAAGATCGCGCCTATGATTCTGAATATTTCAACTGTTTCGTTCGTTTAGTGGCAAGTTTTAATACACTGGATCGTAAGGTAGTCCGACAGTCGAACACGTAACGCATCTACAACACAGTCACAATTCATTTTCCGGGAACAAGGTCGTCATACAGAAAAACCTGATTGGTGAAAAGCGAAATAATTTACCTAACATGATGTTCTCGTACAATAGATGAAAGTATAGGAAATGGTCTTATAGTAGATCAAAAAGATTTCAATCGAAATGAAATTTCCGTGATGAGATAAAAAAGATATAATTTTCCCTGAAAAATAACTTTTGAATATATATGCTGATCAAAAGGTTATTTTGGCGAAAATCGTTGACGACTGACATTCATCTTTGAATTGTGTCGTGTGCTACCCTACAAAGGAAATCTGAATCCCAATTATGCCTTTTAATGTTCCCTGTAAAAAAATCAACTCGTGTAGGACGGTTTCTCAAAGTTATGAGAGAAACTTGATACAGTGATAAGCATAGAAAAGTCATAATTTACATATTCCTAATAAAATGCACGTATATACACAGTCGGTTAGGAACTAATTCCGATGTAATTTAATTTTACAACTATTCCAAAATTGAAAAAGAAGAGACAATTTTTCAAAAAAATATTCACATTCTGCCTGAAATTGTTTATCATATGAAAGTACGCCGAAATAAAATGTATCACTTGTTTAAACCAAAATCGATGGGATTTGAAGATTGTACAAAAATAATTAGTGTCATTGGTTTTTGAATACTCTCCGTGCCAGATAAACTTCTGAACAATCTACTACCATCTTCCAATTTGCCGTGAAATCGCGCGTTTTTTGTATGAGTTACATGAGTTCGAGTGTCATGGTAACATACGAATTATTATAACTATTTTTGCCTACCGGTATTTTACATCTGGCTGTATGGTTGGTATACAGTTTAAACCAAGGAAGTGTAAACTGCGATGCAAACGTAGTAGTGTCATACGCTTAGGCCACTAAAGCATGGCGCCCATTTCGATGGTATGGTCTACGACTCTACAGAGTATAATATATCAGAGTTCGAATATGTATTATTCGTTGGGCGCTCCAGATGTGTGTGCACCAATATGGCACCTAATTTTATTCGCCTACTTTGCATCAAGTTGTGTAAAGGGACTGAAGCCTATGAGCAAGGGAGATATTCACTTGCTGACACAGACAGTCCTCGAACTCGTAATAGAACTAAAATAAGAAAAAACGGAATAAAATTATGACATAACACTAACCTGGTACACATACTACAAGAGTACCATTCGTAGGGCGTTAACCAAGTGGAGCGTTTGTCAATTTATATTTCAAAAATTAGAAACTCAAAAAAGTGTACAGCGCGCCGTACAATTTAGCAATGTGCACAAGACCTTTTTTTGATTTTGTTATCAGCTCTCGAAATATCGAACTAAAAATCCTAATTCACACAACCTATCAATTACGACGAAAGAAAAATTTATACTTTCGCCATTCTTCTCCATTCAGGCAAGAGTTGTTGGCAAGGTCCACACCAATTCGCATAGAAATCCACAATCCAGGTCTCCCCTTTTGGTCTCTGCTGAACGCGAGATATAAAAGTTTTCGGGGTAAGATGGACGTAGGGAGGGTTGATTAAATCCTGCAATAACAAAAAAAAAAATAGTAAAACAACAATTCGGAAACAATACCAAAAATAGTACCACCAAACTAGGCCCATAGAAAAACAGCGCTTGTGAGGCGTAGTTCATCAAGTATTAGGTTTGGTTACATAAAAAGCTACATTGCAGATATTTGTGACCGAGAGCATGACGAAACCTGTAAACCTATTTTAAACAAATCGTGTTCGAAAAAGATAATCTTCGCAAGGCGGGCCGGTGTAGCCAGTTGAACCGGTATTTCATTACAAGATGTCTACTTTTACTCGTCTTTCAAAACTTTTTTCTAAATAATGTTAACAAGCAGGTAATTTTATATCTCGTTCGAGCCCAGCGAAGTAAATTAACCCGGTGGTATCATTTTGTGTGAGAATTACGGAATATTTAACACACGGTATGGATGAGGGTAAAACAGGGTTAAATGCAGGAATATTTCTTCCAGGCGATGACTGGTACGTAAAGGCGTTTTTGTTATTGCTATCGTGTCTGTGGTCGGCCTAAGGCATTTTGCCGATGATGGTAATCTTTCGGCGAATACTCCAAAAAGGGAAGAAGTTATCTTATAATATTAATAGCAATAATACAGTGAAAATATGCACCCTCGCCTCGGGCTGGGTAGAATTAAAACCAGATATAAATTTATTTTAAAGAAAATAACCCAACCCAGTCGACCTAAGCTTGACAAACAAGTATCACATATAGCAGTGAATATGCTATTTTTTGTACAAAGTTGGTTTGAAATTTTGATGGTCCAAGCATTTTATCCAGCGTTCAATACACTGGCGACATCATATTAAAAGAGAGTCCGGCTCACACTACAAAAATGGCGGGAAAATTTTGTTATAAAATTTCGTTCTGTACCGGGCAATAAAAAGTATGGATTTGAAAAATGGGATTTTTGAATATTTTCGAATTACTACGTCCCCAAGTAAAATCGTGCTTTTGCATCAGAATGCATATCAATGTATTCGGAAATTAAAATTTGAAAATAACAACGAACAGTTTCTGATGCGGTCAATGAAACCAAAATGGCGCGTCAGAATTGCAGACGACTCCCTGCCTGAACATACCGTGAACAGTGCGTGTAACCGATTTGGATAGCAAGCCCGATCAAATCAGTAAAATATGAAACTGGACGGACTTAATGGAAAGAAATATTTTGAAACCGAATGAAAGACCAAAAGCTAAAATAGCACAATAAAAATGAATAAATAATAAAAATAGTGAAAATTGCTAATTTAGAATTTACACGTTATATTCATGTTGGTATAACGGGTGTCTTCAAAATGAACGCGACAAACATAGAAGCGTAATTAACAAATGCGGAAATCCATTAAAATTTTACAAATAGTTATATAAGAGTATATGTTTTTTATGTTTTAAAAAAATGACGAAATTCGGAATAATAAGTCATAAAACCACAATGGTGATATAATTTTTTACGTCATAGAAAATTTTTAGTGGTTGATGAGTTGTTATAAGATTTGTGGACGTGTTTAAATTTCTGAAAATCTTTTTTTTCTGTTATGTTCTGCTGAAAATAAAGTCGATGATACGTAAATCCCATTTGTATGGACTTGTATTATTTAATGTAATATTTTGACGGAATTTTCGACATGCGTCAGCACCTGAAACAAATCGCGTCATGTCGATTTCGATGAACACAGTTGAATCAGCATTTGAGAATAGCTCGATCAAAATTTCGAAAAATAAAACTTTAAACTTTCTCAAGAACTGGGAATTTTACAACACTGACAAAACTACTATTTTGATATATAACCGGTTTTATACAGTACCAGTACATAGGTCAAGTGCCTATACGCAACGAAAACATCGTCTTTAATATAAAAATAATTATACATCGACCTGTGCGTGAAAGGTCAACAAAACATGGTTAACCAATGTACTTGATTAGGTAGAATTTTATATATATTACATACAAAAATATTCGTAAGATTGCGTGCTTTTCTCTGTTAACAAACCATTTGCGGAATCATAAATTTCCATACGCTGGTTGCAATAAGTTCTGCGCATGACAATTTTCTCGGAAGGTGAATTGCCCTATCGCTATCGGGGAATGGTTGGACAAGTTGGTGCGTCAATTCGGAAAAAAAAGTGTTTCATTTTAATTAAAATAAAACAGCGAAAGGTTTGGTGAATTTTCGTGCCAAATATGATTTGGAGGAAACTCGATAAAAAAAATAAAATAAAAAGCAATAAGACTTCTAGCGACTTTCTTCTGAAAATTTAAAATCGAATGTCTAATTCATTACAATTATTCATTACAGGAATAGGATTTTTTTTAACAACAACGAGAACTCAGTAAAACGATTCATAGGTCTTATTGGTGTTTAATAAGAACTTATTCTGATTAAATTAAAAAGAAGGGAAACGAACATAAGCGTATAAACAGCCTTATTTTGTTTACAAGAAACGAGTTCCGTTTAAACGATCTGATTCTGCTCAAGGCAAGACATAAACAATTTCAAATGGCGGTATAATTAATATTTAATTTACATCTACAAGGAAGAAGTAATTAACCATAACAATTTTTAATTACGCTCGTTTTTCCAATAAAAGGATATGGTTAGCACTTTACATATACTTGTTATATTAATTTTATATAAACCCGTTTTACAAGTACTTTTATTTATTTCACAATAAATTTTAAAATAGAACAGCCGGTATTTTCAAAATAAATTTCTCCTAATATGATAAACCATGCTGAGCTGGAGAATGACTGGTATGTCCACTTCCCCGTCGAGAATTGTCGAGAGAGATTGTTAACTACGAAAAAATTAAATTGCCTCGTGGCGCTTGATTGCGTGAACGCGCGAAAAAACGTGTTTTTCGTCGCTCTGTAGTACCACCTGGTGGAAAGTAACGAGACAAAGTAACAAAGTTACCTCGATGTATCGCTGGATTCCAAATTGTTATATAAGATAATATTGAATTGCCTCGTGGCGCTTGATTGCGTGAACGCGCGAAAAATCGGGATTTTCGTTGCTCTCTAGTACCGTCTGGTGGAAATTAACAAGACAAAGTAACAAAGTTATCTCGACGAATTGCTTGATTTTAAATTGTTAAATAAGATAAAATTGCCTCGTGGCGCTTGATTGCGTGAACGCGCGAAAAATCGGGATTTTCGTTGCTCTCTAGTACCGTCTGGTGGAAATTAACAAGACAAAGTAACAAAGTTACCTCGACGAATTGCTTGATTCCATACGAACTGTGTTGTCCACTGTATTCCGTGACTACACTTCCATTAAATAACATTGTGGTTGGGTAGGAATTGATACCATACTGAAAATGAAGATATTATACTGGTTGCCTTAAACTGGTAGTCAACAAGACTGAATTGACTTCGAATTTACAACCAATCTGAACAATTTTATAGCTTAGTTGCTTCTTATATTAAAAAATGAGTGAAAATTGTGAATTACGTTACACTTCTTGCTTATATACCCTATAAATTTTTCTCAAATGTACGGGCTAACGCTGACATGGGCAAACTAGGGATCGCGGGCCAAATCCGGCATGTTGGGAATTTCAATCTGGCCCGCCTGATTCTGCCGCAACCAAATTTTGATGTTTTACAAAAAAATAACTCAAGAAAATTGCTATTGTTTTTTAACTTTTGTAACAATGTAAATATTGTTCATGAAATGTAAACCTCTACATTTGTCTTACATGGCCCGCCAGTCTGGGTGGGTAAAATGATTGGCTCCTAGTCCAAAAACCCTGCCCATCCCTGGGCTGACGGTTAACTCAGTACAGATGTATAATTAGTAAATGCCCATAACCAAAGTTGGTCCAGTAACACTGTAACAGAATTGAGTACCAAACTCCAGAGATCATGTGGTCCCTTCGCTTTCCACAGCTGGCTGATCATGATCAGTCACCTGTAACTAATGCCATCACTGATCATGCTTGGCCATCTCGGAACACACAAGTTTCCAAAAATAAAAATTACCAATAACATTAGAAAATTGTCCTAATATGAGTGGCAATGTGACTCAAGTAAAGTGAAAATCAATCAAATTTTTGAGAGAGTCAAAAGTGTAGTTCAGTCTCTGCTTACAGATTGGGAAATTGAAATGAAATTTATTCAGAAACTTGAGTTAAATATTAAGAAAGTAAAACAATTAATAATCTATTCATGAAAGTAAACATCCCTATAAATCTTACATTGTTACAAACTTCTGAAAATTTTGTGCAATCAATTGTTCCAAAATTAATTGACGGTAGAATCATGGATGCTTCACGAAGTTCTGGCAATAATGCTCTGCACGGCGGACACCACTGGAATGTAATAACAAAAATCTAAAAAATCATACACGACGGAATTCTATTTCACATAACGATTTATTAAAGAAGACTTGCATAAGCCAGAATTTGTTTTCAAAATTTGGTTCTCTAAATTCTAGACTGGAAAATTCTTTAACCCAGAGTTACATATAATATGTGATGCAATCATTCACATCGGAGAATGCAAATAAAAAAAATCTGGATAAGGTAAAAAGATTTAACAAAAAGTATAACATACAATCAATCTATTCTTAAAGCCCCTTATTTATCCTTAGAGAGCAATGACGATAAAACAGCTAAATCTCATGTCAAACCCAGATCATGTCATCCGACTATCGATCAAGAATTACCATGAACCAGTATCACTACAATTTTTAGAGTCTTTCAGTAACTTAGTATCATTGTAATTATTCGAGTTATCATTAGATTTCTTAAAAATATTCAATTTTGCTCACCGATGGTCGTGCGATGGCAAGCATGTGCCTAATCTAATACTCAGCAGAATGTACTATCTTCAAGCCAAATGGACCACCCTCAATACAAGTTACCATTTTCAAGCCAGGCCACCCACTGGTATACTCAATTGACTTCAATATAACTTACAGGTGCAAAGAAATCCACGAACCAAGGTTTCTGAGATTCGTTGATTTCACCTTCGTCGAATATTTCTGGATTTAGTGTTGTTACTCTAGTTCGAGAGCTTTCTTGAGCAAAAGCACTCAATTCAGAAGTTCCTTGTCGACCTTAAAAATATTGTAATCAAATTTGATGTAATTACGATACCATATTGGGTACAAATTCCCTAACGTTGAATTGTGCCAGTTACAAATCGTGAGAGTGCAAAATCTGTACCCATTGGGCAACCTTACATTCCAGTGTCCTGTACTGGCAACTATAAAAAGTATAAAATGGCTCTGCCATTGACGGCAATCATTCCTGTCATTGAAGCTTACAACGATGCTTAACTCTACAAAATTCCTAGTTATATTTGTGGATCATGAATAGTATGAAAAGCTCCAAGAGACACCAAATAAATCATTAATTTATTTTCTAGTTTGAAGGGACTAGACCAGAGGTGTGCAACCTTTAACGCACAAAGCCAGATATAAATAACTGACTGAAACCACAGGCCGCACCTTTACTTAACATAGGCTTTCTAGTAGTTGCAGACACAAAAATTTTGGTTATTGATCCTGTGACATGCGTTGTTCGCTTCGCACAAACTGCTAAGGAATTGGAATTACTCGCACATACTAGATAGATTAAATTAAAATCTCGTTTCGCAACCGCACCATTCAAAAGTGGCGCTTTTTAGAGGCCCGTACAAGTTTGGGCTTCTTGTCACACCTTCCAATTCCAAATCAAGCTCCACCTCACCCAGGGTGTAATAAATGGGTAGACTATCCCGAACCGGAACGATTCCGGCCCTCCCATAGTGGGGCTGCTTGTACTCCTCGTTCTGAGTGAGATTATTATGGATAAGTGCCATATTAGAATAAAATAAAAAATTACATTATGAAAAAATTACCGTGAAATATTTCAAACATGTCCAATCCCTTTCCTTTGAAAATAGCTATAGTTGACTCTTGGAGATACATTTTTGATTTACAGAATTTCTTTTCCTTTTCGCAGTCCAATACGCTGACATCGATTTTCTGCAATAATATGAATGTTATTATTATTATCAAAAATAATTGAACAACTTTTTTATGAGTAATATGAAATTGTGGATTAATTATATAAAAAACCACAGCCTTGCATTTGATCTGTTTCAAATTATTAAGCACATTTTATCTTGTGTTGTGTACAAATTAAGTAAACACAAGTTGAACACTTTTGCAGGAATACACATTCCTAAAATGAATGATTGTTTATATGTGTTACACAAGCTAAAATCAATGTCCAATGAAAAGAAGAATCAGAAAGATAAAGTAGGTAGATGCTTACATGCTGTTTAAGTATAAGAGGTAATTTTTTTAAACTTGTATCTTTTTGATCTATCTCTTCATTCCCGTATTTGAAAAATACCAACACTGGTTTTGTCCCAACTTTGCTCTGAAAATAATATTAATAAAATTAAACACATATCATACAATTTGACACATATATTTAAGTATAAGCCAAATATTAGAGTGAAGCAATTAAGGTCTTTGAGAGTTATTTGCCACTTCAGTAAAGTCTAGTGGTATGCCAGCACAGCAGTTAAAATACCATACTTAGCATCGTTTCCAAGGTGTCATTATAAATTGGGTAGAAAATGCCAGGGGTTGTACAAAGTGGATGTAAAATCGTTGTAAAAAAACACCTTATTTGAGATCAATACAAGGCTTGAGGCGGCCACTTAAATATAGATTGGAGAGAGCTACCGATTTTCTTTAAATATCGACATGACATCTTTGCTATGTGACCAAGTATACGAATTGAGAGAAAAAGGCAGCGTGAAAAATAGTTTCTCACACTAAGTTCCTAATATTCAATAACTAAGAATTTTCCTAAATAAGGAACCAAGGAAACAATACAATCCAGAAAAACTATGCAATGTGAACATAGGCAATATGCATATCAGGGCTGGAGAGCTGATTTGGAATCAAAACGGGCTCGGGCAAAACTCACGGCGCCACAGTATGTTCAAACAGTTACCCAGTCTCACACCAAAGCTTCATTTTTTAAATCTGAGCTGGGCACCAGTTTCAACTCCAAAGCTAATGTTTTTAGGTACGAGTATGACCATGAAACATTGATTCAAATGTAGTTTCGAGACTCAAACTCAAAATCCTGATATGAGGATTTAAAATTCCAAAATTAAACTTTCAAATTAATATTAGAAATTGAATAATGAAAAAAATCTAAGCTGAATAAAGGAAAATTTTATTATTCGTACAATGTATCATGCAATATTAAATAATAAATATAAAAAAAAATCAGATGGTTAGGTGCTGAAGTCAATAAAATTTCTGGTAGTTCGCCCCATCCAGTATGGTAAGCTTGGCTCCAGTTTCATCAATTTTCACGGTTCAGTGTTTCCAGGTTCTAGACCCTGATGCATATGAATTGGGCAAAAGAGACAGTCAACGTCACCATGACAATTCAACTGAACGTCAAGTAATTTTACATTAGACTTTATATTCAATTTATTACCTTTAATTGTGAACTTGAAATATTTGGGAGACCTGGTATTAAATCTTTCATTATCTGATTGTAAATTTCTCTGGCATCAAGCGAATTCAGCACTACACTCTTATCTTTTCCAGATGGAAAAGTGCCTTTTGGATAAAAATGAATTCCTGCCGTTTTACCACACTTCTTGCAAGTTTGTGGAGATGTTCCACAATCTATTACTGCAACAGTTGCAAGATTTCTCTAAAAAATAAAAGTAACATACTGTATAAGTATCTGTAATTTGGATCAACAAATAATAAGTATTCAAAATCCGCTCAGCGTAGTCAGCAGTGGTGATATTAAAATAGTTTCAATCCTATTTTCAGTGCTTAAAGTTCGTTAAATCCACTAGAAAAAGTAATTTTTAGTTTCATTTTTCAAATCTCCTCAAAAGTCCTGCTCTTCTGCTTTCATGTTTACTTTCTGCAGATAATTGTGATCAATTGGCAAACATCATTATGAATTTAATAAATATAGTTGAAAGTCGCCTCTTAATTGTACGATTATATTATGTTGTGAATCACCAATCTAAAAACAAAATTCTTTGAATGATGGTATCTTAATTAAATAGTGAATGCAGTATTAGAAGTCTTAAGAGGAAATAAATTTGACCAGCTTTAGGGTCAAATTTTGCAAGTATGAAATGTTACATGACCGAATGTGGTGGTTGACCGCATAGCAGATTACAACGTAGTTGGTATTGCAATTTGCAACATACTGTTGGACAGCAGGTGATATTAATCTCTCGCTGCGATAAAGTGTCTAGCATAACGCCACACTTTCCTATTTCGCTCATGGCACACCAGGAAGAACACTGGAAGGAGTAAATTTTACCCCTGAAATTGGTCAAAGAGTAAACGCCAGAGTTAGGTGAGGTCTATCATCCTAACATCTTTAGTCTGGTGTCATCAGCAGCTTTCTTGGTCATATCGATTAAAATCACTTCCAATCCTCATTACAAGTGCCCCCACATATACTTTTCAGTAGCTCCTTGTATTTCAATTGTTACCAATGACTATTCTATATTATCCGAAGTCAATGTTTCTCAAACTGGGCCTAGAGGGTCACGAAATGGTTCTCTGAGGGCCACAAACAAAAGCCTTAAGTCAGTGTTTCCCAAACTGAGCCCTCGGGGTCACGGAGCGGTTCTCTAAGGGGTCACGGAGCGGTTCTCTGAGGGCCACAAACAAAGGCCTTCACTCAGTAGCATTCGCTTTTGACTACATTAATTTAATAAGAAAATTGACGGAGTTCTTTAACTTTTTGTCAGTAATGCATTTATTATTTAGCTTTTGTTTGATGGCATTTAATTATTAAACATGGCGTATAGGATAACTGATGGAAATGTATTGAAATCAAATCTAGCTATTTTTATAGAAGTGCGGGAGGCCACAAGTGTTGTGTCTTTGAAAAGGGTTCACCGTCACACGGATCATAAAAGCTTGAGAACCACCGTCCTTTGGGTGTAATCATCATCTTCTCGTAATTTGTGCTGGATTGATATTTTTATATGCAGGATTCACATCCATGTCACCTCGATTTGAAAAAAGTAAATGGGCAGATCCTAACTACCTATACCTACCAGCATTCCTGCAAGTTTTCTTCTTGTTTTCATCGTGGGACAATCAGCTCCACTATCAAGTTCTTCATCATCATGTTCATCTCCCCCACCACAGAATGCAACAACCCAAGGTAATGCTTTACGAGCAGGTTTTCCAACTTCTGTATCAAAGTTTCCAGACCATAGTTCTACAACTTCAACATTGACATATTGCATAATAAACTTCGTCAAATCTTTCTTGCTCCGATCTCCACGATATGGTATAGGCTGCAGAGACACAGAAAATTTGAGTTTCAGAAGAATTAGAAATCGTTCTGCATTGAGAAATACTTATCTCCCAATGGCAAAATCTAAGTCACAACTTGAATAATAATACTATCCAGAATATTCAAAACCTGGCTATTGAGAATATTTTTGGTAACAAAAATACTACCCATGCATGCATTTATGATAGTAAAACTAGAAAAAGAGAGACATGTAATATTTAAACAAAGGTGCTTAGATGAAAAAACATGCAAATTTTAAAAATATCTGAATTGCATGCATAGTGCTACTGAATGAAGCATTATTTTTTTTTATTCATTACACCAACTCCCAGACCTCCAGAAGTATGCGCACAAAGATGGCGCACAACCTGAACACAATATGTGTGTACCGGTTAGGATTCAGGTTGTGAGACATCTTGGTGCGCATACTTCTGGTGCACCCTGAACTACCTACATAAAATCTACTCGTCTATAACTTCATCTACTATTCTTTGATTCAGTGTACCTGTGAACTATTGTGATACACAACAAGGTGAGGAAAAGCCATAATACGTTTTTTCATACACCAAAACCTGTTTTTTCCTGCATGACAAAAGAATATCATTATAAAAAATGATTATGGTGCTTGCAGGTAGCGTCAAACCAAATAATATACTATTCCGATTACATATCACAATGTAGATACGGTAATGTTTCCCCGAATGAAATTTAATATAGAGAATCATTAAATTCATATAAATTCAATTTAGTAGTATGGATGTGCTGATTTGTCTTCATTGATGTCTTAATTTTAGTCTAATGTGTAAAATGTAGTCTGACGATCAGATGTGAAATGCTTAAACAGACAAATTCAATAAAGCTATTCTAAAATTTTCCTAAAGTTAAGATTTACTATTTCGAAAATAAACAATTTTGAATGTAGGTATTTAAATACTCGATTCGGATGCACCCCTAATGCATGAAACAAGTGACTGTTATGTTGGCAAGCTTTTCTGATTAAATTTTTATGAACATGTTCAATAAGCATGCAAAATGTAGTAATTGATAGAACAAGCACATTTGGCCCACCGCTAATAGAGAATTTTTAATTTTCAAACACCCAATACTATATCAAATATAAAAGCTTACATTGGTTTGCAGTAAAAAAATGGCAAACAATTGCAAAAATATAAATATTAGTTATAACATGGACAATGTTTTGTATATCAAGATATATCAAATTACCATACATCAGTATCTACATTATTGTTGTTGAACTCCGCTACGTGGCTTGAGATATGAATTCGGCAAAAAATGTTATATCAGATGCCTCAGTTGAAGTAATAAGTAATTACGTCTAATAGCAGGAAGTAATAGATATATATATATATGTATCATTTGAATAGTCATCCATCCTGTTCCTGTAATACGCATCCTGTTTCCTATCTCTCAACTAAAAGGTAAGATACCTGGATATTGTATGCATAAATGTATTAAAACGTTGTTTCAGATTATCAGAATGTGAGTGTACTATACTGCTTTTTCGAAATGCTGTGTGTGTGGGCATAATGGCCTAACGATTGAAGCATCAAATTCAACTGTGTTGGTGTCGCGATTACACTTCTCTGGTTCAAATAATAAATGCCCCCAGTTTTAGCCAAAATTCCCTTCTGACATATATTTTCTTATTATCATGTTTTCTAGTGTAATGAACTGAAGTGAAAGACTATTTTTTGTACATTTATCAATGGATACGAATCACCACACAACTAATCCAATACAAAGTGAAAGTCTTTAATAAAGAATTACAATACTGAAATGACAAACAAAAATAGGTTTCAATTCACCTCCACACTCAAATGCACCAATATGTACTATATCTTCAAGATCTCTTGCCACCTCTCTCCACTTTGTAGACGAGAATAAAAATGTGAAAAAAAATATAAATTTAACATGCAAGTGAGGTAAAGATGAAATGGTGGAAAGTGGAAATCAAAGCGGAATCTCCTAGCGACAGCATGCATTCTGAATTGTGCACATGCAATTGTGTCATTCCTGGGACTCACCCTCCGGCCCCCAATAAATAAAACAAGTGATGGATAACTATGAATCCCATTTTCTTGGCAAGTCCAGCGATTATCTCTGCAATTCATGGCACCAATATTGATAATACCTTCCATTTCTTGAGCAATTATTCTCCACTGATAATATTGTAAAAATGAAGTTAAATCTTATAAAATGTTTAAATAATAGGGCAAAGCAGAAATATATTTATATAATTTATATATACCAGGGGTGCAACATTTTTTGTCAGTGGGCCATATAACCAAATTTAGACATCTGCTGGGCCATACGACACAAAAATTATTACTTACAGATACAGTAGAGGGCACCGAGCAAAACGGCAGAAGATTTAACGCAGCGACAAGGAAAAAACATTACGTAATTCATACCTGTGTGTTCTTTTTAAACATACACTGTCGGATTAAAATTTTAAGCTTGATTGGGAAAAATCTCAGTGTTGACAAAGGCCACACTAAATAGCTCGTCGTGGCCCAGGCCGCTTGTTGCACACCCCTGATATATACTGTATAAGATACCAATAACTTATAATTTATGACTGTAACATTGAAGTTAGGATAGCAAAATTGAGTAAATATGGAATACTGTTATATATATATTATGTATATATATACACTTCAGCAATCAGAGCATCACGCTAGGAACAAATTTGCCATCACATCTTTGATTACCCTATGCAGGTTCACATGTTAGAGTCTAGTGGAAAAAAATCATATGCGAGAGAATTGTTGGAATCTTCATCAGCATAGGGTGGTTCACATAACACTGGTCGGTTACTGCATTATTATTATTTGTAGACACAAGTCTTTGTAATGTATTGTACTACATCAATAAAAGAAAACATAAAAATGAATAGAACTCACGGTCGGGGCCAGTTCATGGCAATGTGAACATCTTGGCGAGTAGAAATTAACAAACCATGTTTCTCCAGATTTGACAGCGGATTCTGATAAATGAAAATAACAATTCATGATGTATCAAGAAAAAGCCATTTTTCTAGCACAACCCTTTGTTTTTAAATCATGTTTCAGATTGAAGCCAAATTGTATTTAGATTACTCTTTATATGTAAGTTAATTGTCCAAGAGCAGAATGCTATGGAAAGTAAGAACTGGATAAACATACTGAAAAAGATGTTCTATAAAAACAGGTGAATAAATATGTTAACATATGCATATATAACTACAGAAATGATATGTTATACATTTTATGGTCTTATGTGAAATTTTAGTCATCAATGTCCATTCTATACGGACTAAAGGCTCCATCTGTCAGACTAATACTGATCAACTTATCATGTCTTGTACACTCAAAAGATCAGAAAATAAATATCATTTCTTAGTCACTTGAAATAAAGCGATATCATATTTATATTACACATTACCAAAATCTGATCTATCGAGAGTTGTAACTTCTGCATCGTCATCGTAGATTCCTGCAAAACAAAATGAATGAATAAAATTCAAAACCTTGAAGAAAATACTTGTTTCAGAGCCATGATCAAAGATCTACATGAAATATCTTCTGAACTTGATATTTTGAATGCATAAATAGTGAAAAAATATTAGAGACAGCCCATTTTTACTTTTTTTTTCAATCTGCCTCATTTAGAACGAGAGCTGGGGAAATGGTTCAAAATCACAATGGCTCCAGCTATGGAACCACAGTACATTGAAACAGACCACTATCATTAAACTTTTAAACATAAATGCAATTTCGATGGCACTCAAATCATGATATAAGGGTTTTAAATTTTCAATTCAAACTTTATATTATGCAAATTTAATCAAAAAGTTTCAAATCTATATTCAAAATTCAAGATCTGGAGCCATTAAAATTTCTGGTAGCGCCATGATACGCTTGGCTCCATCTCCTGCTCCAACAAAATGCCACAGCTCAGTGATATGGCTACCCAGTACTATTTGTAACTCGTATGAGAATAACAATCTTCGTACCGAATTCATCTTTATAAAAGTTGTAACTTTCATATCCTCCTCCCTTGAAATCATCTTTCAATCCTTCTTCACCGTATCGATCATATTTCTTTCTTAATTCTTCATCTTTCAGAACATCATAAATATTGGTAATTTTTAAAAATTTCTCATGTGCTTGGGGATCATTCTAAAAATTGAAAATATATAAATATAAATAAGAGCAATAGCACATTTCATTTTTTTTAATCAATTTATTATCTAGATTAGGGGTGTGCAACAGGCGGGCCATGACACAGCCCGCCAAGCCATTTTGTTTGGCCCTTGTCAATATTTCAGATCTTTCATTACTGAATGTTGCACACACCCCCTGATCTAAATGATAAAATAGATATATCTCAAATTTTATTTCAACTGATTTGTAGCAAATTTACTAAAACTTCATATTGAGAGGACATTTCAGGAGTGAAAAAAGTATTGGGCAGCCAAATAGTTTAAGGTGAAAGATGCTTTCGGGGGTTTAAAAAAATGGTGAAATTATATCTGTATATAAGCTACATTTAGCCTTTCACTGCTGACAAGGCTATAAATAAGCATCTAATGCTAAGTGCTAATTTATTGCATCTTGGGTGAGGTGGGGGGCATTGCAGAATATAAACCCAAAATTTGTAACCAACGTTGACTGGATGACCACATGCAGACATAGTTCAGCAATTGGTAGGTTGGGTTAAACACTTACCGGTACCGCTGTACCGTATCATCACAACATAAAAGTTGAAAGAACTTCAATTTACAAAAGTATACCACTTACTGTATTTTTATCTGGATGATGCAACAATGCTAATTTTTTAAAAGCTTTTCTTATTTCTTTGTTTGTTGCATCTTTTGAAACTCCCAAAACATCATAATAATCTTCTTCACATTGCACAAGTCCGAGTTGGAAAGAGAAAACAAAAATTATATAAATTGTCCATAAAAATGAAGTTTTCTTTAAAATCATTTTCCTAATCACAGATTGATAACTTTGTTGATTCAATGACTGGAAGTTGAACTATGGTCTGGATAAAAATATAAATCAAAACGCTGTTAGTTTGTGTGGGAATACCGGTATCGGTACCGGTACGGTACTGTAATGGCCTACTACGGTAACGATTAAAGCATCAAACTCATGTTGATATTACTGTATTAACTAGTTTCGTGCAATAAACTAACAGGATAAGTTCAATATTTAATACTATACTCTGATACTGCTATATCAATACCAGAATACCGGTACTTCAATCCCCTTTTCCTGTACCGGTACTGCAATGCTTCAACGCAATTAGCCCTACCTCAATACTGCAATACCGGTACCTACAGACCTGCGGTGCCGTAGTTCAGTAGTCTGTTTAGTAATTTTAGTTATAATAACGGTATTTAGTATAAAAATAAAACCAACTTCAGAACACCTAAGCGACGATCGAATCAGCATTTAAATGAAAATAAACTGTACCGGTACGCTAGCTAATACAATATAATACAAACAGTATAGCAATTCATAACAACATTCACACATTTGATTTTGGCAACGCAATCAACTGACTTCCGGGGTCATGGCGATACGGTTTACCGGGTACGTTTGATTGACAAGTGTTCGGTAGGGTTAGTTCGGATACCTATAATTTTTACTATCCCGATAACGGATATATCCGGTTATTCCGTATTTTAAATATCCGGTTAACCGGATAGTTACTGCTGATTTCGGAGAACCGATTTCGCAGGTTTTTTGCGGTGAATTGACCACCACACAGTTCTATTGTAAATACTCACATATGTATTATTTTTCTTGAATAAGAATGATTGTGCATTTTAATATTGCATGTGTCAATAAATAATAATTTAAGCTCTGTAATCGACCGATGTACAGCGGAATAATAAAAGGGAACATTTTTTAAAAATATTGTGTCCTAATTGTTTTTCCATCCACTGCTAAGTTATTTTCTCCTATTCAAATAATATGTAAAGATTTATATTGTTTCTACTTTATTGTTGATTTTTTTGGGAGTTTCTTTTTGTGTCTAGAGCCTCTTTTCTTTAAATTTTGACTCGTACTAAATTTTAGTGTCGCAGACTCACAATGATCATTTCTGATCATCCACACCTTCTATCAATTGCAATGAAATTTATTATTGTCTTGTATAGTATTTTGTGTTCTATAATATTTGTGATTTATTGCACGACAAAATAAACTTATATAATATATATAATAATATATACCACAAGAGCATACATATAAATGAAATCATGAACACAAAAAATCGTGCATTTTGAACATTTTATTTCGGTGAGAGAGGTATCCAAGAAAAAATAGAATATAGGGGGGCCAAATTCCGTGAAGTGTATAGAAGAATATAAGAAATTTGAACAAAAATTTTAATACCAAAGCAAATTGATGATTTTGAAAATATCGAAGTAGTCAGAAATTTCTTCTAATTTGAAAACTTCACTTATTTAACATGTCACTGTAAATATTCTCACGTTTGTACTAATTAGGCCACAACTTTAAATCTATTTCCATTCGAATACCTTTTAAACTAAATTAACAGAGCCAAAACAATGCTGCGCCAGTTTTTGAACAACTTTACTTACCACCCTAAATGAGTAAATGAAAAACATGACACGATACAAAGTCTGTCAAATTAAATTTTGCTAAAATATTATAGACCATTTTACAAACAAATTTGTTTGTGTAAATTCCATGAAAACCATAAATGTAATAACATCCCTTCCTCCTCTTTTTAAAATTTTCGAAAACGTCACTAATAAAGGCGGTCGAATTTTACAGGCTAGTTTTGTTATCATCGCCGATCGTTTTCTTCCGCGTCGCGTGATTATTTGGGGAATTAACATTGGTATTATGCCAGTTTTAATTTGAAAAGTAGTTACATCTCGTGAAAAGTTACCCTTGTTGTAAATTCAGTAGATTCGATTATTACGAAATTTCGGCGATTCAACAGCGCCTAAAATAGTGTTTTGTTTTATCTATCACTGGCTCATAAATTAAGAGTCGTGGTATTTTCGTTAGCATTTACTTCCTTATTTTCAGTCAAAAATGTGTGTTTCAGATCTACTCTCTTAACGATAGATAGATACGACGATAGATAACATACTGCGGCCATTTCAGTTCCGGGCAAAAATAAATAAATTATCGGCGTTATATACCGACGAGACTGAACCCGACTTTTCTCACGAATATGTTGATATATTAATATCTTCATTTATTGAACTAAATAAATTATATTTATTGGAATTGCAATAATAGCTCAAAATTGATGAATTCGCAAGATCGCAAAAATACGAAATTGGATTTATTCGTGCAGCTTTCCACTTATTTTCATATCTAGAGTAGAAATGCTTTTATTTTAACGTAAGTTGGGCTCTTCTATGCAAATACGCAATATTCACATTTTTCTGCGTGTTTTGGGATGTAATAGTCAAGTTTACTCCAGCATTACACGGATGACTAAAATATAAGCAGAGTAGTGTGGATATAAGTGATTATTATATGCTCTGGGAGATGTCAGTTGCCACTCAACAAAAAATATAAAAATCACTAATGCGCATATGCATTATTTATACTGCTCTATTATCCGGTTAACCGTTACAATAATATCCGGATATCAGATAGCAAAACACCTCTTGGTTATCCGGTTAACCGCTATCCGGGTAATCCAACCCTAGTGTTCGGTCGCAGAAGTTTTGTAATTAATTTTGCATGTTTTTGTTATTTTTGCCCTATTTATATCGATACATGGGAGTGAAGTGCTTTCAGTGTCATGATAACAATGAAAACTAAGAAAATTTATTCACTCTATTAAATGGAGGTTTTTCAATTAATTTAAATAACCATGACCAAACTGATAATGTTTTAGCTCATCCAAAATACCGTAGGCACTGCATGCAAATGCTAAGATGTATACGTTTAAATTGAAACAATTTCTTTGTTAGAATTATACAGTAAATATTTGAATATTCCAACTGAAATATGTATCCAAAGAATATATTTAACATAATACCTCATTCGTATCTGCCACCACCCCTCTGATATACAAAAAATAAATATATATAGCTGTACCAAACTGATTGCTAAATATTGATATCATTCGACATATTGTTAACAACATTATTTCTGTTTACTTTTAACACTTTTTTAGTGCAATAAAAAAATTAATATTAATTAGCGAATGATCACAACGATGGCGTTTAATCGAAACAAGTCGCTCGGATATGTATAAGTTAGGTGCCATGAAAATTTTTCAAATCCGCGAGGCTGCACGACATCTTGAAGTAATTTCAAAGTTATTGCCCGATTTTGTATCGTGATTCGTGTGTGTTTATTGGACACGTTTATTGGACACATTTAGTGGCCATAACGATCGTTTCAAAATTTTGTTATTATTGTTATTTTCTTTCGTCATTATCATTAAAAAATCGCTTTTCTCTTCGAATACTGGTCCAATTGCTTTGAAATTTTCAGTGGTTAAAGATAAAATTTCCAGAAGGCTATTAATTTTTTTTTTTTGCTACGACGTCATAAAAATTATTGCCATTGGTTGCCGCTACGTGTCCATATATTTGAGCATAGCTCTCTTGTTCTGATTAGGGTTGGATTATCCGGATAGCGGTTAACCGGATAACCGAGAGGTATTTTTTATCTGATATCCGGATATTATTGTAACGGTTAACCGGATAATAGAGCAGTATAAATAATGCATATGCGCATTAGTGATTTTTATATTTTTTTTGTTGAGTGGATAGGATTTACATATTTATCCCGGGGAAGAGGTAAGCCGATAAGACTAGGCTTACCAAACGGCCCGGTTTAGCCGAGACAGTCCCGGTTTTGACAAGCTGTCCCTGCGTCCTGCCCGGTAGACTTAAATGTCCCGGTTATGTAGCGTGGCAGTCAAAAACATTTTTTTCATATAATATTATTACAAAGTTATTTTCTTAATGGAAGCATCCAATTTATCTCCAATAGTTAACAGAGGGAGAGAGAACTGCTGTTTTGTTGTGTCATGGGTATAATTAGGCTTACCATACGTCCCGGTTTAGCCGGGACAGTCCCGGATTTGACATGCTATCCCGGCGTCCCGGCCGGTTGACTCCAATGTCCCGGTTTGTCATGGGTAAAAAATTCAAATTCATTATTACAAAATTTTGTTTAACGGTGACAGCCCATTTACCACTGTTTTGCGACACACTTTGCTAGTTCAGAGAGAGAAATCACTCTATTGTTATGTCACAATTGGTATATGTTTTAATGCGTTTTCTGGCGTTAACTACAATGTCGTTAAGTTGTCGAAATGCCAAAAAGAAAGAACAAATTTTCTGATGAGTTGAAGAAAGATTTTCCTTATTTGAGGCAAACTAAAGGAGGAAAGGTACACTGTACGCATTGTAGATCTGATTTTCTATTAGTCATGGCGGACATTCAGATGTCAACGATCATATCCAAAGCAGGAAGCACAAAACAGCATCGACTCGACTGACCAATTTTGCGATAACAAATTCGGATGATTCTGTGTCGTTGGCAGCCGAAATTTACCTATCACACTGCTATTCATGACCAAAGTTTTGACTGCACCTCTAAATTAATTTCAATTTTTTTTAGGCTAAATTTGCATTAACTTGTAAATATACACAGTTAGAATTTCTGATGTCCGCTGTCTGATAAGCGGATTCGCTGATTTCGCACGTTTAGCCAGAAATAAATGAGAGTTGGTGCATTGCTCCGCTGTTCTTCTCTGAATTTAATGATGATTTACTTCAAGCTCGAATGGCAACAAAACGCAGAAAAGTTGAAGCTAAGTGCAAAGGGTTCAATGGCGCTGAAAATATTCAAATGGAATTTTTTGAGATGCAGTGAGGAAATAAATCTATATTCTATTTGAGAGATGTATCACTGCTTGATTTTTAATATAAAAAGTATCATCCGTTCAGTTTCAACTTTCTAAAAATATGTGCGGCCCGCCAATGACTCGCAACCCTTAATTTTGCCCCGCGGGCGACAAAAGGTTGCC